GTACGTACAAACGTAACTCTCTCTCTCTCTCTCTCTCTCTCTCTCTCTCTCTCTCTCCTCTCGAGTCGTTAATCGATTCTTCTTGCTCTCTTCGAAACCTTAAGAAGAGGGAGAAGAAAAATTGAAAAGAGGAAGAGAAAAAAAAAATGTCTACGCGACACGATGCAACGAAATTGTTCTAACACAGAATCGATCTGAACAAGATACGCGATTAATATTAATACGATTTATCGCCATTGAATCATAATAGAAACCAGGAAGTGGCTCCGAGCTTCGAATCGAGGAGAAATTTGGATCGTGTTCACGCGATATGTTTGGATTTAGTGAAAGCGTGTTTTGGATCATTTTTAAAAGCGAGATGATATATAGCCGTTGGAATGGAATTTTAAATCGATCTTGTTGCAGGCATCTTACGTGAATTAATCAGCAAAATTGAATCTAGAGAAATTTTTTATCTATCGATATTTTCAACGAAATATTTATCTATATTATTCTATATACTTTTCTTTTTGATGAAATAATGTTAAAAGTTTCAAGAAATAATGTTAAAAAATTTAGAACAATTTCTTCTTTGTTCACGTATAACGAACTTTCCATCGAGTAAAATCAAAATTTTCTACGAAAAAACCTGTAAAATTAATATTCCCTCTGAATCGAAATTCCTCTGTTCCAACTCCATATCTCTTGAAACGAAGTAGAAAAAACGAGGAATTAATTTCCATTTCATAACACCTCTTACAATTACAGCGATTTACCATTTCTCCAAGCTTCGAAGAGAGCAACACGTATAATGCGAAACCGGCGACACTAGAGACACCTGTTGTTCGCAACTGTTGTTCACCGCGTTAATTGCTCGTCAACCGTTTCAAATATTACAAATGTCGTCCGAATTATCGTTCAGCATGATCGCGGCCATCGATGGAGAAACGATTTTTCCCATCGTGAGTGGGAGCGTCGCCATTGTGGCAAAGGTCTCTCCTCGCCGTTCCTGTCGTGCAAGGACGATCGAAAGGTTTCCTTCCCTTGTAACGTCGATAAGGTAATCGCGTGCAACGTGTACAAACCTTTTTATGGAGATGCGGATTTCACGAAATATCCGCATCCACCGATCGTTATGGTTATCGGTTAACCCGTGTACGAGATAAAATTTCTTCGAAATTGGACGTTTGTTTATTTGCTCGTGGTTTACGCAGGGAGCCATACCGTAAATTGCCTTTTGTGCTCGGGCTCTGAACAGTGGTGGAAGAGCAGTCTGCAAGTCTGTTGGAAGACGTGAATATAAATGCATGGTCGAATTGTGATTTTATTTTACGAATTACACGAATATAATTAAATCCTCACTCGGTCAAATCGTTGGTGAATCGGTTTTTGATCCTTTTCGAGAGTTAAAGATAAATCTTCCACCATCGTTAATCTTAGTCTTAATCACCAAGTAAAAGATGGAACGAAGAATGCTTGTGAATGTAATGGAACTCTATTTATACGTACGAAACTTTACATAATAGATACGATTATCTGATTATATAAATATCCAATTACGCCTTCGTTAAAAATGTAAAAAAAAAAAAAAAACCTTCAAATTTCCATTCATGATCGATCCACATCATTGTAAATGATCTTCTTTCGCGAGAGAAAGGAAGGATTCAAATAAAATATTACAGTGGAACTCCAACTTTATGAACGAGACTTTGGATTGTATTGGATGTGTGATCCGATTGCCCGAGTGTTCCACGTTCACTTATCTAAATTCCAATTACACGAAACGTCTTCGTAACGTTGAAAAATTAAAAATGTAAAATCTTTCTGTTTGTAATCAATCCACATCATTGTTGATGTTCATCGCAGGAGAGGAAGAATGGATCGGCGTCTATGTCTGGCTTCTTTTTTTTTTCGTCGGTGTCGGGGGCACAATCACAATCGACACGTTTTACGATAATGAAAGTCTCGAGAAGGCGGCCTCTAATCACCGGTTAGCCAGCCGCTTATTAATCCTCCAATAAATAACGCTTACCCGTAGAAAGCTGCTAGCCAGTGGGAGGTCTCGAATCAGGCTAATGACGATCGCGATAAGAATTCTCGCGCCATCAAGAAGCTTTTGCTCTCTTGTCGAGGATTACAATTGGATATAACGCATAATAACGTTCGAGAAACCGATCTCGAAAGATTCTGAAATAAATTGAAACGAGTGTTAGAAAAGTATGGAATATATCCATACGCAAATTGAAGATAGAAAGTATCCGTTTTCAAGATTTATAGGTCACAGTGACATTCAACGATGAAGTACTTACATACGTGTACTAATTTCATTTTATAAGTGTTTCACATTATGTACTTTTCCTTTTTTGAATGTGTTTTAAGTTAATCAGGTTTTAGTTGAATCAGGTTAGATACATACATATATTTATTGTCAGAATTTGTAGATGCTTCATATTATATACTTTTTCTTTTTTGAATGTGTTTTCCTTAGATTAGGTTTATTTATATATATATATTAATTTATTGTCAGATTTTAAAAGTTTCACATTATTTCCTTTTTGTGTGTGTTTTAGGTTCAGTTAAGTCAAATTAGATTACATACATTTTCACTTTTTTTTTTTTGAATGTGATTTAGATTAGGTTTTGTATTAAATTAATCATTTTCCAACAATATTTGAGGAATGTTCTACGCTTATCCCACTTTTTGGACATGTAATAAGAATCTACAATATCCTGTATATTGGTTGAAAAAGTGAAGAAAACTTTCCCTTTAAATATCAATTTCAACAATCTATTTTCTCCAACTCCAACAGGGAAAAGACAGACAGGAAAAGATAAAGAAACGAATTTACTGTTACGAAGAGAAGAAATGGAGGGAAAGAGAAGAAAAAAAAGGGGGGGGTATACACATATAACATTATTTATCGTGCCACAAGCAAGCTCTCCAAGAGGAGATCGGATCGTTCGATAGCATACAAATGCAATTTCTTAACGGGACACCGGCTGTCTGAAAATCGCTCGTCGATTCCTGATTGTGCAAGATTGAATATTAACGCGCAAGAATGAATATTAATTATTATACGATTGAATATGATTAAAAGTCTCGCCTGCGGCCAAATCCTATGCCAACATTGTCCTTTATTGCGTAATAGCTTGATACAACTATTCGTTATGTGTACTGTTCCTATGGATTATTGTATTTTCGATTGTACTTTCAGATCAACGATAAGTTTCTTTTCTCTTCTTGTTCTTTTTTTTTTTTTTTTATTAGAGTGGAATTGTTTTGATTCATTTTTCAAAATCCTCGTGAAAACCTGCTTTGATGTATATCAGAAAGATAATTAATACAGTATATTTGTATATCGGTTTATAAAAAAAGAAAAAAGTATCGCTAAAAAAAATTTTGAAAAAAAAAAAGGATATTTAAATAAATAATTCATAACTTCGTTAGTATGTATATAAATACACGTATACCTGATTGGATTTCATACATTATTTAATTTTAGCTCGAGTTGTTACTGTGAAATTTCCGTTTACATAGTACACAAATTTATGCGTTTGCATTATCAAGTTACAAAGTACTTTTAGAAAGTATTCTTCTTCGGTTATGTAGTTTCTAACTTCTTTGTAAGATATGCAAATTCCGGAAGATCTAGAGAAATTATTAAAATGAAATGGCGAAGAAAATCTGCAACAAATTTTTGAAATTATTTTACAATGACTCGTAATATAGATATTAATTTTTATATATACTTTTTAGAAATAAAAGTACAATTTTTAATTATTTTCCAAACCTTTTGACAGTAGTGTATATACATTTCGATTAAAATAGATATTTCATTTAAATCCACGTACGAACGAGTAAACATTATCTCCACGTAAATCGTTAGAAATTAGAGGAAAAATATTCGAATAATATTTATTTATGGAAACGTTTACGTTTCACTTTAATTTATCTCAAATTTTCTCCTCCGTTTACCATCTGGCCAAAGCGCAATCTGAACGGTGGCTGGTTCCTTGGCCACCAACTCGCCAACGACCACGCCGGATAATTAATTTATGCTTCTGGTTCGGTCACGGTCCAACTACCGTGTCCAAGCGCTTCCCAACATAAAATCGTTCGTGGAACTTATCGAGAATCGCTTCTGTACACATTTCCTTTTCGTCCTCTTTGCACGCACGTTACGTACTCGCGCAGCTTTCTCTCACGCCTCTGCCGATCATCGCTTTGTGTTTCTTCTTTTTTTGTTTTCCTTTTTTTCTTCGTTCCCTTTCCTTCTTTTTTTTCGAGCTCTCTCTCTCTCTCTCTTTGTTTGTTCTTCTCTATTCGGATGAACAGAGAGATCGGACGACACGGAGGGGAGATTTACGACATCGGGAACGATGATGGCCGATCAAAGATTTACCTTGAAACAAGTTTGCAGATATATTTTTCTGATACGAGCAAATTGTATTTGTTCGTATGGAAGAAATTTTAATTCCCGAGATGAATTGTTATCCCCTGTTGCATAAACGATGATGCGTGGTAATTCGATGTAATGGATAAAATATATACTGTCGATCGTTAAATTTGTAGTCATTGTTTCTTGTAAATTAGACACAATTCATTCTCCGTTGGATTACTTTTATGCAATTCCACCGATGTTCTTCAACGTTTTATTCAAAATGTCGGTCAAATCATTCTACATATATATATATATATATATATATATATATATATACACGAATATTATTTCATTCCAATATTTATTTTTTGTTCATACTCACACGACTCAGCACACGTTTCTTTTCACAAACTCGTTTGCTCGTTCTTTTTTTCCTTCTTCTCCTTTGCGCGGATTGATTGTCGCGTATAACTGCATGACTGTGAAAAAGAAAAAAGAAGAGAGAGAGAGAGAGAGAGAAGAGAACAGTCCAAGCGTGCTTTATCTCTCAAGCGTGCCTTGCTATCCGCAATTTATGCGGACACGCATTCCGCCTATTTTCATAGCACACACGCTTATTACTCACCGTTTTCCACCCTCTATTATTCCTCCATATCGATTTATCGTGCGATACCAGTGTGTTTCTTTCCGAGGAGGAGTGTCGTAGGGACTTGTACAGCCTTGAATATCAGAGGAGAATGTTCCAGTGTTTATATCGAGGGTATCAAGTTCAATATATATCGGTTATAAATCTAAATCAAATCCAATATCAAAGGTATTATACGATTGATTACGAAAAACCAATAATAAATTTTGAAAATATTATAAAGCGAGTCGAATTAAACTCGGGAGAGCGTTGTCAATATTTTTTGATAAATATTTGCAAGAAGCTGTTTATCGAGTTCTTGATGTTTCATGTATATTATCATCGATTATTAGTAATAGTCGGTCGAATACTATTCTACTATATATATATATATATATATATATATATATATATACACGAATATTATTTCATTCCAATATTATTTTTTGTTCATACTCACACGACTCAGCACACGTTTCTTTTCACAAACTCGTTTGCTCGTTCTTTTTTTCCTTCTTCTCCTTTGCGCGGATTGATTGTCGCGTATAACTGCATGACTGTGAAAAAGAAAAAAGAAGAGAGAGAGAGAGAGAGAGAAGAGAACAGTCCAAGCGTGCTTTATCTCTCAAGCGTGCCTTGCTATCCGCAATTTATGCGGACACGCATTCCGCCTATTTTCATAGCACACACGCTTATTACTCACCGTTTTCCACCCTCTATTATTCCTCCATATCGATTTATCGTGCGATACCAGTGTGTTTCTTTCCGAGGAGGAGTGTCGTAGGGACTTGTACAGCCTTGAATATCAGAGGAGAATGTTCCAGTGTTTATATCGAGGGTATCAAGTTCAATATATATCGGTTATAAATCTAAATCAAATCCAATATCAAAGGTATTATACGATTGATTACGAAAAACCAATAATAAATTTTGAAAATATTATAAAGCGAGTCGAATTAAACTCGGGAGAGCGTTGTCAATATTTTTTGATAAATATTTGCAAGAAGCTGTTTATCGAGTTCTTGATGTTTCATGTATATTATCATCGATTATTAGTAAACAACGATTAATCGAACTTAAAGTTTTTTAAAATTGATAATGTTTTTTTTTTAACGATGTGCAAGTAAAATCTTTACAACACTATTTAGAATGGCAATAAATGGAGAAAAATCGTCAAGAATAATTACTAATTTTTTTTTGTTTTTTTAATTTTAATCTTAAGATAAAAGATTATTTAATTAATAAAAGAATGGAGAAAAATTTTCATTAAATGAAGTTATATGGTATAGAGTCATAGATAGCCTTTACGAATCTTTTTTAATTTTCGATTAACTTTTTCACTCTACGAAATTCACTTTAAAGTTTACTTTAAAAAGTACCGTAATGGGTAATGTGCCTGATATTATCTTACGCTCTCTCGTATCGTTCCCCCTCGCAAACTTGGAGAGAGTTGTAAATCCGTCAGGTTAACGAACACATATGATGGATCACCGCACGCACGATTTCTCAATTCGAACCTTGAAACTTTTTCGATCGTTCTCTTCGTGTCGTATAACAACGAATTTCAAAACTTGAAGTATATCGATCCTTTTTTTCATTTCAAACAGAATCATAGAACGTTGCATCGATCGAATAGGCGAAAAGTCACGATGAACTTTTATTATTACAGAATTTAATTGTATTACCTTTATCTTCTTCCAATAAGATATATATATAAATAAAAGAATTCATTTGTATTCATTTCACTAATCCATTTGATTCAAGAACAAAGGCAAGGATTATCGATAAACGCGTGAAACTTGACCGTATACAAAGCGAGCATCCTTCAGAACAAAACATCCGGGTCGATAGCCCGGTATACACGTGCAACGCACGCACGCTCTGCCCTCCATCTTGGATTCTTTCTTGTTCGAATGCTACTTGACCGTTTGTTACAAGCCAACGACGTCATCTGTCGGTCGATTAAAGACCTACCGTTACGACCATCTTTCCTCTACCCGCAATTATTCGCGCGCAAATTCGTTAATTTTTCGAGATAACTTCTTCTTCTTCTTGACTCGAGATACGTGCATGTTCCAGGAAACAGAAGGAAACAGAAGTGCGAAGAAGTGACAGAATTTCATTTTCAAGTTAACACTGATAATTGTTCGTTACGCCTTGTGTTAATATTGATACAATCTTGTCGAACAAGTTGGCAAGTCTGTCTAATCGTATGTAGTATTTATGTATATACATAGCTGCAACAGTGTACGCAATCAAGAATCATATCACATTTTACAATCTTTAATATGGAAATAGAACAATTATGCGTTTGAAATTTAATTTTAGAAAGTAGATTTTACGTGTTTCACGGATACGTTGGAAGTAAGTAGTATGAGCATCGATTCGTTCCGGGCATCGGTGCAATAAAATTCTTACGACAGACTCGTTCCGCTTTTTTTCTCTTTTCTCTTTTTCTTCTTCTTTTTTTTTTTTATTCCTTTTTTTTGCCTTTTCGAACTTCAAATACATCTTCTTTTCACTTTCTTCCATGAATATCAACGTGATTCGGTATGGTGTATTTTTTTTTTTTTTGCAAAGTTGCATCCATAGATACTAGTAAATTATTATATCGAGATGATATTCGTTAAATGAAGAAATAGAGTTTTAATAAGCGTGGTTCGAATATTTTCAAAATCGTTTTCAATTTTTTAAAAATTGTTTTTAAAAATGCCAAAAGTGGATTAATATGTTGTATCTTATCACGATGTGTTATCATTTTTTTTCTTTTTCCTGATTGTAGAAAGTTTTCTACGCGCTCTCTTTCCATTTCTACACACGATTGACATGTCATTGCATATCATTCGAAAATGATATCATGAAATGAAAACATTTTCGAAAATGATCACTTTTCGTTTGTGCAAAAGCTATTTAAAGATATTTTACGTGAAATACATAACGATTATAACGTTTTATCTTCGAGATGGAACAAATTACAATAGACGAATAATTAATATTGAAAATTGTGCAACATTGATAACTGTTAATGTCTCTGTGACAGCTGTTTGGAAAATTGTAGTTTAATCGATGGCGTTGATGACATTCGTGTTACGGATCACTTTTTGCAAAATATCAAGGACATTTACGTATTCGTCCAATTGTAAATTTAAATAAATGTTATTTTTTTCGACTCGATCTTCGTTGCTTTCATTCTTTTTTTTTTTTTGAAAAATATAAGTTACATCGAATCGAAGATCTTATTATCAATAATTCGATTTCACATCGTAATTAAATTTATCTAAATTAATTACAATTTATTTATTACGATTTAATTAATCCATAACGTGGAATAATTCTCGGAGTGATAACTAGAAAATAGCAATTCTATACGTTTAATTCCGTCATCTGATAGTATGTTAAAGTGCAGAGCATAATCCTTCGTTCTCCATAATAATAATACTGGGCAACGATTAAAGCGAAAATCCTCGATGTCACATTAAATTTTTCTAAATGTATAAACTAATTCAGTTTTTTCTATACAAACTCAAAATACAAATTTTATCCATAAATATAACGTGACATTATGTACAATTAAATCAAAATTAGTGTTTTATTCGATTCGATGGTTAAGATTGGAAGATGTAAGTTATCTTCCCGAAACTTTCATAAGTTTGAAAAACATTTTAATCGAATTAGAACCAAAAAAACGGATGGAAACGGCACGAAGCTAAGCATTAATCATTCTATCCAAGG